GCAAGGCATGCATCATTGGTGTTTGAACGGTGGTCTGTTTTTGTGAGCCTCAATCCTATGGTGGGGATTGGGTGCGAGTAGCTGGTTCCAGGTGGAAATCAGTGAAATTTTACCTATGGTGGTGGTGATGATTTTTGGTGTTCACGGATCCTATGGTGAGGATCAGTTACGGTGAACTTGAGTGTTCACATCTTGGTACCACGTGCATTGAGTCACGGTGTTGAGTTTCCTTGTATTGCATAATTGTGTTATTGTATGAATGTTGTTATTAGATAATTGGGTGTTGTAGATTGTATGGAAATGTGATTGGTTGAATGGGCGACTATGCATGAAATAATTTGTTATCTACTTATTATTATGCATTCATTTATGTCATTGTGATATTATTTAAATGTTTTCTCCATGTGGGTAACGCGCAGGTGATCCATAGTGAAGGTGTGAATGTGAATAGAAGAGAATTATCTTCTTTATTGCTTTCATTGGTGTCAGTGTCTTCTCTGATATGTAACAGTAGGGGTCGAACGTTTAAGTGTTATGCTGTTATGTAGTAGATTTTATAATATTATTTCCATATTATGACTACTTTATAACATGTTTTATTTTAAATAAGTATTTGAATACTTTGTTAATGTTTTCCGCTGCAATAAGATGAAGTTAAACATGTTGAAATTTTTGTAGTTATTATTATTAATTTTATTAAGGTATATGTGTTACATGTTATTATAATATGAGCAGGTTTGTGTTAATGAATGTGACATCCTAATCATATGAAGTTTTGAATTTATTCTGAGGGGAAATTAGAGCGTTACATACGTTATGGTATGTACTAGACCCGACATAACATATACAGTAAGTCTTGTAAGCAGGTACATGGAGAATCTTAGAAAGGCTCACTGGCAAACATTGAAGTAGATTCTAAGATACAAAAATGGGTTTCTGAACAAAGTCCTAATTTATGGTGGAGCCTGTGATGAAGATGTAAAGCAGTAATTAAAAGATTTGTTGACTCTGATTTTTCAGGTTGTATGTATTCTAAAAAATCTATTTATGAATATGTGTTCACTATGTTTGACACAACAATCAGTTGAAAAACGACACTTCAGAAGGTTGTCTCCTTATCAACCACTAAAACATAATACACTGCCCTCATTGAAGCTGTGAAAGAAGCATTGTGGCTTGAAGGTTTTGCTAAGAAGCTGAAATTACAAGATCGAGTTATCACTGTTAAATGTGATAGTCAAATTGCAATACATAAGTCGAAGAATTCAGCCTATCATGAACGAATTAAGCACATCGATGTGAGGTTGCAATTCGTCAGAGGGGTAATCGAGCGTGGAGAAGTTCAAGTGTTGAGGGTTTTGACTAATCACAATATTGTTGATATGATCACCAAGACTGCTAGGTTGCAAATTTTTCCATTGTATGCGGTTGATAAAGTTGCATGAAGAAAGCGAGTTTATTCTCATGATGTTATAGAGTTTGTTCTAAGGTGGAGATTTGTGAGATATTGGATTAAACTATAGTACAATCGAAGGGGTAGTTTATGGTCCAACATGAATTAAGCATGAGGTCGAAGCTTGTTCGCATGCAGTTGTCGAAATAGTGTGTGTTGTCGTCGAAGTGGTTCTAACATGCATTAGTCGATATTTTCTAGGTTTATTATTATGTCGAAATTGAGTCAGTTTGTTAAGCTCAATTATTTAAGTTAGCTTGCTTTCTAAGTTAGCTTGTAATGGGTATGTGAGTAAAATGCCATTAGTTTAGTGTGTTAGTTTTCTTATAAATAACATACTAATCTTTCATCATTGAAACACTGTAAATGCTTATTTGAGTGTGAGAGATTATTTGTTATTCAATAATACTTGTAATCTTATTTTAAAGATAAAATAAAAAATTACAGTTTATAATCAATTTCACTATATTCTTTTTGCTTCTCTCTTTCCTACACTTATGAATTTCTTATCTAGAAGAAATTTGTTATACACTATTATTGATATCCTTTTTTACAATATTATTTATACTAAAGTGGTCTCTGATATTACTAGTGGATAAATATGCCTTTGTTACGGTAGTTTCCTCTAAGATAGATGATGTCATCTATATAGTTTGAATAAGCCATATACAACCAACAATAGGATCCCACTTCCTTTTCCTTTCAAAGGGACAAGATAGACTCAAAATTTAAGGGGGATCATGATTTTACTTCATATAATACTCGATATTATCATGAATCTTTCTATTAGACCTTTTTAAAGTAATCACCAAAGGAAATATTTTACTACTAATTTCTTTTCTTCAATTTTATCCAGAAAGGACAACAACATTGACTAGAACTTGTCCTAACTACGAATAATAATAAAAATACTTACTGAAATATTTATATATTAAAGGAATCAAACTCAAAACTTCAAAATATTACTAGAATCTATGTAACACGTGGATTGCAAATGCTCAACAAAGAAAATGGTATAGAGAGTAAAGTAAATCCCCAACCACCTCTTTAATTCCTACTGGAGTTCGATTCTAGTTGAATGGGAATTTGAGATTACTTGACTTCTTATAAAAAAAGGTAAGGATCTCCAGATATACACCTTACTTTATAAAAATAATTCAAATATTTATGAGATGAATCAATTAAGGTGAAAAAAACCGAGATGGTTGACAACTACCTTTGACCTTAATGATATAGAAGAAAAAGACAATATTGATTGAGTGTACAAGGAACTTTTCAATGTTTGGACACCAATTCAAAACACCCAATATTTATACCCATATATTAGGGTGAAGTTTTGAGGCAACATCGTTCAACAATTGCATCACCTCACATTCAATCTTGGTGAATGCATATGAAGACTAGTTTTACTAAACAAAATAAGACGAACATGGAAAATTATAATATAATTCCTCCCTACCACCATTATGAATCAAACTTTGTTTTCGTCCTTAAAAAGGCTACATGGAGTCAAGATAAATGATATTTTCCCTTAAAAATAAAATAATACACAACAAATCATTTAATAGGACGTTCGCAAAAATACATAGTGTATCATTTTCTAATGCGCTGTTGTATCAAATAAAACTCTTATGATTTTCAATCACAAAATGTCTTATTATTGGGCTTGTACATAAGTATAAAAGATCCTAGCCTAATCATATCTACCTAAAGAGGAATAAAATGTGATCTTTGCCATTTTTGAAGAGTAAGGTCTTATTTGAGGTGTTAGAAATCACAATGGATCTTTTAGAATTAACGAATTCAATTACGTTAGAGTTAACCATTTTAAAATACTACAAATAAGAATAAATGAGAAGGAATCAGACATACTTAGAAAAAAATAGAAAAACCTAACCATAACTCTACACTAACAATTTCAAATGTTTTGTATTATTTTATTAGGATCAAATAACAATACCTGAAATCATTAGATATAACGCTCGTGATTGCATCCTAAAATATAATGCACACGTCATTACATCATTTAAACAATGACATGACAATCCAACAAAAACTCATAAAAATCCCTTTTATTAGGAAATTTTCAATTTTTAAAAACTATAATATACCCACTATCTACTAAAATAGCCAATGGAACTTGTGTAATGGTATGGTTCTAACCCGTCCAAACCAAATATGTTACACATTGTCCACCAAAAAAAGTCTACATCTCATAGAACAAAACATGTACAATATTGAGGTCCAAAGCTGTAAGATTCAAACTGTTCACCTTAGCGCAACAAGATGACACAATGTGATAGTCTACCCTAAGATCATCCTTTTGTAACTAATATTAACTATATGGATCGTTTTCAAACCAAATAAATTTCATTACCTCAATCGAAGGAAGTTACAAAAAAATCGTATTTATTCTCTAATAATAATCTAGAGATCATCTTAAGAGAAAATAAAACTATTTATCCTCTATTAATAATCTAGAGATCACCTTAAGAGAAATAAAAACTATATGAAACACGTACGAGCCTAACCATTTTATAATTACGGAGTAATCATAATATATGATCATTAAATCAACTCACTAATTTATTATATTCACGTACTTTGTTTTATTTTAACAATAAAAAATGTCTTTACAAATACACCTCCTCAATCAAAGAAGCATACGAGAAGTAAGATAAAAACAATACATCACGATCATTCGTTTGAAAATTACATCACATGATCAATTGATCTATCTTACAAATTCACATGAAAAGACTCTAAAAAAAGTCAACAAAACAACTTTCTCCTCCAATTTGCTGAAGGACAATCCCTATTCAAAAACAACCCGTTCAAATCTTTTTCTCGAGTTATGAACTTTTTCACATAGTATATTAAACTCATTTTCTTAATTAAGCAGAAAAAGTATTTACTTTAAAACATAAGAAAGTTTTTGGAACATATGTAAGTCAATGTGGATAAACATAACCAAATTGGTGCTTCAACTGTGGATACATCTACTAATTAATTTACTAAAAAACTATATTTAAGATTGAAATCGCAAAAGTTTATATATTAAATATTTGCCACTATGTGGAATGCTATAGTCATTTCATGGAAAGGTAAACGGAAAAAAGAAGTGTCTAAATGCATTCTCCACCTTCACAAGATATTTAAATACATATATAAAATAAATAAATATAGCAATTAGCAATTTTTTCTTGTATAATATTAAATAATTAAAATATATTAGAGGGGACCATTGATGAAGTTCTGAAAATATTACTTTATTGTTTCTCTTTTTCCATTTGTCAGAGCAAAGATTCATCTAATCCTTTCCTCCCAACTTGTCCCAACAGACACACCTTCATATTTTCTTCCCTTTTTCTATCTCTTCTTTTTCCTTTTAAATTATCCCTCAATTTTGGTATGTCCCTTATTCCTCTATAAATATGATTCACTTTTTCTATCTTTCCAAATTCTAACTATACTTTACATATATCAACTTTTGTAACCTCTTCTCTTATTCATTTTTTTCTTCTGAGAATTATTTTGAATTTTCTCCATGGAAAACAAGCTTAGAAACCCTAACTATACCTGCATAGCCAATTCAAACAAATCTAAAACCCTAGCTATGCATAAAGACTCTCACATAATATCAAAGATCAAACCAAAGATACGAATAATTCATATATTTGCACCCGAGATAATCAAAACCGATGCTGAGAATTTTAGAGAGCTTGTGCAGAAGTTAACTGGGAAACCAAGCGAAGAGAAAAAGAATTTCAAAAAGAAAACAAGGGCAATAATAGAAGGAATATCAAAAAATGAAGGAATTAGAGAGCAAGATTCTTCAAGGAGTACTAGTAGTGGAAGTGGTTTATCATCCGAAGATTGTCCAAGAAAGGAGATGTTGAGCAATGGTGGATTTTGGGGGTTGGATCTGACAATGGATAGAGTGATCAAAGAAGAAGTAAGAGATGGTGAGAGTTGTGGTGGGTATTTAGGTGGGTTTTCTGATTTGGAAGGGTTTATTTCTGAGATTAATGGTGGATTTCCTTTGTTTCCTTTGGATGCTACTCATAATATGCAAGGGTTTGAACAACATCATCAGCTTCTATAATATATATATTATATATATATATATATATATACAAATGTTATTATGCCTTCTAGCTAGACATATAGATTTATTTATATTTTCTTCACTTGTAGCTTATGTATGTTTGATTGTGAAATGTTTTGGGTTTCTTCTGGTATTCAAGAGATGAAGATCATATTATAAAGAATTTTTGCCAACTCCAAGATTTGTTGTAGTGTGTTTTCACTTCTATGTGGAGAAACCAACTTATGTATTAATTAAAGTTTTTTTTTTCTCTATGATAAAATCTTATCACTTGATTTATAGATCAAACTCCTATTCACATATTTAAAGTGTTCTTATGAATCCTAATCACATATTGAAATTCTTTTGTCTTAAAGGCTCACCACACAAGATTGATATGGCACATTTTGATTCTATTATTAGATTAAAGAAATACTAATAATTAAAGTTCCTATTAAAGATATAAAAGTTGGTTATAAATTAGTTACAACAATTATGAGTTAGTTATAATCATATATTTTATTAGTCTCATTGTCTCATTATATTTAATTTTGTTTATCATGGTGATTTATGGAAGGAGGCATGGGGCTAGTAATATTTGTGATTTGTGAGAGTTAAAATTGCTCGGTGTCATGTTCTGAAGCTACATGTAGCAATTGGATATTGACTTGATGGTATTTTGGTACTCTGTTGTTCGATGATATGTTTCTTTGTTGATTTGATTATGTTTAGCCTCCTTCTTGTTTGAACTATACATACATAGAAGAGAAAGAGAGAATCAGCAAGAAATTTTGTGTGTATTTGTACTTCATATTATAATGGCGTATATTCACTATTGAATTAATGAGGGTTATCGTGCAAATTCTAGCTTGATATTTTCTTTATATTATTTCCTTTATATATAATAACATAAGAATTTATGTGTGTTCTGTTGATGAATAGAGTTGTTTATGAACGGTAAAATAAAGCTATGATATAGAGGAGTAGGATTTCGGTACGAGTATTCAGCTGTAAGGTTATCATTCATATGTTCAAGTTAATTTGAGAATGAAGAGTGATGTGAGAGTGAAAATGGATTTGAAAATTTGAGAATTTCGTGCAAGGAGCAGTTAAACTATCAGTGAGGAGTGCGGCGTGTTGTACGAACAATCGTCTGATTGATCTGGACAATTGACAGGACAATTAGTGGAAGAAGTTGACTACTTAAAGCAAGGATAGAGGAACATCTACTCCTCGCGCTCGCTTCCCATGCTTCGCCTATGGGGTTTTCATTTTGGGTCTCGTGAGTAGCCTTATAAGCTTGTGTCCCTGTTTTGTAGGACGAGGTTTTCCGTATACACCTTAGCCCGACTACTTGGCCCGAGGAGGTGAAATTCCTTGATGAGACGGCAATATCATCGGGAAGATGCATATTAAATGTCTTTTCGTAATAGGTAATGTTTCACCTGGAAAAACTGACATGTGTCCATATGCTAGTTGGTAACAATGCTTTCTCTTTTTTAGGATACTTCATTACTTTGAACAATCTTCAATGAAATCCCAACCATCATTGGTGCATAGTGGATCATTCAATCATCTGTGGTTGAGGCATATATTAAAGGTTCCCAAGGCATAATTTTTCTCATTTCTTCCATTTGGGACATGCAAAAGATCTTCTTCTTCGTCTTGTCAAATTTGCTCTTTCTCGTGAACTCTTTTGCATCAATTTCTTGGTTAAGCTCATATGTAATATTCACTCGGTGGAAATCGATATGCATAGGAAACCAATCCATTATTTAAGATAAAGTAAATATTTTTTCTTGCTATCGCTTCTTTATCTGTTAGTATTTCTAAGGAGTGAGGTTTTTGGTGTGTTCGATCAAAGTGTTGTTTCTTCATATTTCCCTTTCTTGTGTTGACAAGATTCTTGAAAATGTACATTTCACCTATTATGCTGCATAAGGAAAAGGGGGGCAATTCATCAGTGTGGGTAGATTAGGAAATGTTGGACACCACTTCTACATTTGTCTCTAAAGGCGATTTGGATCGAACTTTCTTCGAGATAGGACCTTCGTCTGACTAGGGAGTACCTATTCTTGAGGAAGACAAGAGGTTGTGTAGAAAGTATGACGAGTGTGTCACCCCTCTTCATGAATATCTTTTCTTCTTAATAGGTTTTCATTTTCATTTAAACAAGTTTGCCATCAACGTTTTTAGTCATCTGTAAATCGCCACATCGCAATTTCACCTAGTGAAATGGGCTTACCTTAAAGTATTTCAATACTGACGTGAATATAAGTAAAATGTGTCAACCCAAATTCTCTTCCACCTTTTCAAAGCTCATCGTAGTTCGAGTGCTTCAACAAAAGGCCATGGCTTGACATCTCTTCGAAATTGTTCCAAAATGTTTGATGTTTATTGATTGGAGAATTTTAAGGATCGGTTTTCTAGGTTACCCCTCTCCGTGAGAAGGCTTATTCCACAATATACTTAATAAACCTGATCCACCTTACCAATGCTCAGATATATTCTCCAAGTTCTAATGCCAAAGCCACTTCTTGGCAAAATCATGATCTTATTCCTAAGAAGACTTCTTCATGAAAAGGAAATTGAGTATATGAGGTTGTAGGTTACACCGGTGTGTTACTCCTTTTGACACAGTGTCAAAGAAATAGTTGAAGTGGTGCATAGAGACACGTCTGCTGGTGGAAATAGTTCAAAAGAGGCCAAGAAGGAGATTTTTAGTGGGAAACTAGGAGGGTATTTCCTTTTTGATGATTACCTATGTAACATGCAACACCCCGACTTAATTAGAATCATTTTTAATTAAATAATAAGACGATGCGGTGAAATTATATAAGTTGGTGGGAATTACGAAGTGGTGCGATACCTTGTTGGGGAATAGATGCCTTAAAATTATATAAATTGAGGTTGTGGGGGTGTTTGGCTAATTGTGTAGAAACGTAAGAGTGTGTAGAATAATATGGATTATTATTATTATTATAATATTAGGATAATTATTATTATTTTATAATAATAGTTAAATAATTATTTAATTGGGAAGACTAAGGTTATAATTAATTATTGGGATATATTAGAGCAAGAATAAGGAAAAAGAGTCAGTACGTAGAAGCAGAGAAAGAGAAGCGTAGAAGAGAGAAGAGGAGAAAGAGCACTAGGAAGCTAGGGCAAGAAGTTCCATCCGTATGAATCAAGAATCAACCAAGAACCTAAGGTAAGGGGAGATTCTAACTCTATAAGGGTTTGCATAATGGTGAGATATGGTAGAATTTAGGTTGTATAATCGTATGTTTTGATTTCTCCATATTTGGTTGTTTTTGGATTTTGTTTCCATTCATGGAGTTTTGGTGATTTTGGTGTGTTTTGATGTAATTGAGTGATATGAATTGGTTAGAATTGGTAGATGAATGTTGATAAATAATTAACCTATTAAAAAGATTCCATAACTGGGTAACCGGTTATGGGAACCGGTTACCACTGCTATTGACATCATTTTTTTGAAAACTTCTAAAATCCATAACTATTATCTCGGGTGTCCGTTTGACGCGCCGTTTGGACCGTTTGTAATACGATGGGAGAACATACTTTTAGTGTTGCGTTTTATCACAAATGTTGCGGTTAGCAAGTGTCGCCACCGACTTTTCTTTTATCCAACAGAGGAAAGGGTGAAAAGAACAGGAAAGACCTTTGAGAATTTTCTAAGTAAGGGGGTAGGTTATGAAAAGGGAATGTGTTAGCACCCTTTTCATCGTAGTTATCTACGAGCTCTTAATCGCTAGCTCACTATGAAAATGTTTTGTGAATGTGTAAGTTTGAAAATATTTTGAAAATGCCTAAGTGCAGAAAACTTTGTAATGATTCTCGTATCGTTGAGAATGCATACAAAGTGTTTGTTTTGAAAATATTTCAGAAAAGTGTTTGTGTGAAAAAAGATGTTTTTGTTTGTGAGCAAACGATTATGAGCTATCTACCTATTTAAAAGTCTTTCGCGTTATTTTCCTCTTCATTAGATAGTGTTATCCTACCATTAGTTAGTAGGAAGCCCTATCATTAGATGTGTGAGGAACATGCGCGGGTCATCGTACAGTCATAAAAGCAACTCGTAGGGTGCTTTAGCAATTTTTCGTAAGGGACTAAGATCGTATACCGAAGGCAGCATCGAAGGGTCATTGAGGGTCTACGATCTTTTTAATTGAGGGTCTTTGCTAAAGCGTCCCATGTTCGAGGGACATGACTGTTTTTCATCCGAAGGCAACAAGTGGAGTTACCCTATAGGTGCGAGTGTGCAAAGTGTGTTGTGATTCAATTATTTTAATCTTTGAGATTAGGGCTAGCTATCGTTTTATTTTAGATCTTATCATACAAACCTAATTACTATTCAATTATATATACATACAAGCATAATTATAGGTGTAGAAAGTAAAATGGGGGACGATAAAACCTAGGTTATTACAATGCTTCGGGGATGGGGGTTACAAACCATAAAAATGGGGGAAAACAGTAAACCTTAGTTTAAGTTATTACAACCTTTACCAGTTACAATATTTAGTAAAACTCGCGTAAAATTTAAATCTAAAACTATTACAACTTGACGTGAAACTTATACATTCGATCTAAGAATTTAAATAGCAAAGAAAATAAGTATTAAGAAAGATATTTTTCAAGAAATCTAAAAAAACCTAATTTGATATTTTTGGTATTTTTGTTAAATGATTATCCTAATTCTAAATTAAAATATAAATTATTAAATAGAATAAAACATAAGTCTAAAATTAATTAAAAAAGTTAATTGATAAAAAACAACTTTTTTTTTATAAAATATTTTGATTAAATTGATTAAATTGATTAATTAGGAAAAAAGTTAATTATGTTTAAAAATAGAAATTAAAATATAAACAAAAGAATGGTGGGCCTGAAAGTATATCTGAGGGGTGCAAGGGAAGAAGATTGCTAGGCCCAAACACGCTAGCTCGGCAATTTGAATGATCATGTATGATCAATTTCAAGAGGTACATCGT